TCCATAGAGGACTGCAATTTTGTCCTCTTCTAGGTCCTATCAGCATCCCTAACGAGAGTTGATTCAATGGTATAGTGAGTTCTACTCATCCGACTGTGGGAGAACTCAACTATCAGTCTTTATATCATCTGAAGCAACCTAGGCTAACTGGGTTCTTGGTATAAGGTTTAAACAAAGATGGCAATTAAATTTTGCAAACCAGCTCTCTTCCCAGTTGCGCACAGAACCTGTGTGAGAGAATGGTTGGAAGGAGATCTGACATTTCACCAAGTGTTCTCGAATCTGAGACTCCCATTCTACTACCATTAACTTGGTGTTGTAGTCCCATCGCTCAGCCATAATAGCGAATTAAATAGTCAATGTAATTATAATCGCTTCAGACTTCCGATAGCTACGAACGCAAACTGGTAGTGACGACTGTCTCGTTTTGTCGGGCTGCTGCCTTTGAATGACTTACAGTATCAGCCCATATAGGAGATCCGATATTGGCAAAGTTTCGATACTTCCAGTAAATCGGTTATATGAGATCTATTACCCTATTTCATTTAAGGTGATGAATGACTAGTATATGAATTTCCCCATTATCGTATGAATAGAGCCGACGTTTCCGTTGAATTTTCACATAGCCTTGCTCTCCCGGAAAGGTGTTCTCATCTAAGCTGAAGTGGACTGCAGTTTCGACCTCGCCTAGATCTTATCAACACCCCCAGCGAGAGTCGAAACATGACAGTTCAGCGTGTAATCACGACATGTTAGCCACTACGCCACATTGCCACAGGTGCCCTTGAGCCACAGGGCAGATGTGAATTTCCATGAAGGACAGACACTTTGCCATATCACATTTTTTGGCTCAAGGACCCTCGTGGCCATGTGGTGGAGTGTTGAGATTGCACGTTGCATGGTCATGGTTCGACTCTCGCTGGGCTGTTGCTAAGAGCTAGGCGAGGCAGAAGCCCGAGTCCACTAGAGCCTGGATGAGAACACCTTTTGGGAAGCAGGGCTACGTGAAATTCAATGGAAACGCCAGCTATACTCATATCATTGCAGGAAAATTCAACCGCCAATCTTTGATTACCTTCTACGAAATAAAGTGAATAGATCTCACGTTTTTGTTCCGAATCGCATTCTTTGCCAGGATTAGAATTGGTGAATAAACAGTCGTGAATATGAGATAGATGCGAAATAGTTATACAAAGCTGTCGATAGTTGGTCAAGTTGGACCAGAGAAAAGACTTGAAACAAACCCCAACAACTCACCATTTATAAGGTACAGGTTGACAGAACAAACGTTAATTGGTCCACCTCGCCTTCGCAGAGCCAGCCAGCGACCTTGAAGACCCAAGTCACTTGTCTGGCCTTCCTCATCCGATTTGCCTGAAGACATCCTCACTTCCTTCTCCACACTGTCTTCCTCCGATCTGGTGACCCCGCCTACTCCGGGCCACATCTCGTCAGGCTCCCTATTCTCGTCTCGGCTCGGCTTGCAGCTGACCAACACTACTTCGCTGCCTTCCGCCACCTGTCCCGAGTTGGCACAAAGCACAAAACTGTCCTTCCACGGCAGACTGGCACCGTATCCCGTAGACTCCTGGAGCACTGAAGTCGAATTGTGGTCTTCCTGTAGACGGCCTCCAATCAGGACATCGATGCCTGAGAGTTGGGTGGCTGTTCATGGAGTTTTTGTGTAGGTTTTCATATGTGCGTTTGCGTGTGCATGCGTGTGCATGTGTGTGTATTTAACGGAAAAGAGGAAGCAATGTGCAAAACCCGTATGTTGACTATAGTGCATTCACTTTCACCAGTTATTATGTCCCTCCTCGTCTATCAATAGACTCTTACCCATCTTGTCTTTCTTTTACAAAGATATATACATATATATATATAATGTCTAGATCACTTCAA